AATCTAGCTAACCACCTACCATTGTTTTATAGAAATCAATAGGCAAACTGGGTGAAGGAACTATATGTAAGTAAAGACTCGTATTTTCAGTTTAGCTTTGAAAGGGCTATTACTGTATTTGAAGAATATAGGCAAAGCATCCAGAGACAAAGGTGCTGGTGGGCTAGAAAGGAAAGACATAATTTGGAAAATCATACTCAGGTCTACTAAGAGACTTCAGATTTTAGTATACTAAAACGTCCCAAATAGTTAGCAAATCCGTAGTGCATTTTTGCTGAATTGAATGGAAGGTACTTAGAAGATCGGTTTCATACCCTTTTTTGGTACTGGGAGAAAGTGAGTATAACATGAGTTTAAATGGATGATGACTTGTGGGTTGTTTGTTCATCTAAAATAATGGGTACAGAAATCTATCCCACCTGAATGTGAACAGATAACCCTACATAAGAGTTAATGCCAACTTCTCTGTTCCTTCCTATCAATGTTTTCTCAGAGACTCAAAGTAGTCAAGTGATCAAATACCTCTCTGAATATAAATCCCTCAAAACCATTTAATGTGGTAACTGCCTGTTAGTCCAATGACAAGGTAAAATTAATTCTGTCTAGGTGAGGTTTTATAAAATTCAGATCCCTTTACATCTAGTCTTTAGCTTTGCAAATGTTATAAATTTGTCATCTTCCTATATCCTCTGATTAGGAGACTATTAAAAAAATACCCCCTTTATCTTCAAACTTGAAATATTGCCGTACAGAGACCATACAGTTGCTTCATAAATATTATAAATGTCCCTTGCCTTATTCTAATGGTTGAAAATTGAGGACTCTTATCCTGGACATGGGAAAAAATGAGTGTAATTTATGAAGTTGATCAAAGAATATGGCATTAAGCATTTGAACTTAAACTGTAGTAATATTTCAGTTACTTATAACTCATTGATTCTAGTTATCACCTTTCCACATTGGAGAACAGTTTTTTTTTTTTTTTAATTTTTGCAGTTTGAACGGGGCTGGGTTTGAACCGGCCACCCTCGGTATATGGGGCTGGCACCCTACTCACTGAGCCACAGGCGCCATCCCTGGAGATCAGTTTTTTAAAGGAATGTTATTTCCACATACAGAGAGCACAGTTTTGGGTGATGCCAGATAGGAACTAAGGCAGGGTGGAAGATTCAAGCATCCCTTCACAGGACGGGGCATCCAGATACTTTTGTTTTATTTCAGCAGTGCTGTGACTAGTGAGAAGCTACTATTGATTCTTTCTAGATAGCAAAAAAGATTCAAAGAACAGCCATAAGAAAAAATTGGGTGAAGTGTAAGTTTCACAAGGTTTCGAAGGAGGCCCATGTATTTATTCACTGCCTGTAGGGTGGGGGGTTATAATGGTCACTAGAAACTTATCACTGTTTCAGTGTTGAAGTTGAACCAAACTGTTAAGAGTTGAAGGGAGCTTAGGATCCACATGGTGAAAACCCCAGTTTATGGATAAGGCAAATATGTGTAGGTGAAGTGATGTGATTTGTGAAGAGACAGCTGTAGAACCCAAGCCTTGGGACATCTGCTATGCCAAACTCCTAAAGCGGAAAGCCCATGTCAGAGGAAACAGCAGCAAATGTTACATCTCGGAAATGAAAAAGATTTTCAACCTAGACCTTGCCTCTGCCTAAGGAGAATGGCCATGGCCACATTTTTCCTTCCTCACCCTGCCTGGTGGCCCCGTTGTGAGACGGATCTTTGCACCTCCTTCCTAGTTCTGTCTTCCAGTCCCTCTGACAGTGCTCCTCTGTTTTGTGATGAGTTTTCCTGGGGTCCTTGTTGGCACGTATCGCCTTGAAATTCTGTTCACAGCTTTCTGGTTGATCCCTTTGTTAAATTATTTACAGTATAAATTCACCTGTATGCCCAGCTCATGCATATCCTATTTCACGGGGTTGATGCTCATCCCCATGATTCCCAGCACTGGCCTGGCTCTTGTTTCAGATTTCCAGCTGCAGAACAGGACACGTCTTCTTGTGGGTCCTGGCACTGCTTGCCCCCAAATGAACTCTTACCACTGTTTCCACATCAGCAACCCATCTTATGGAGCACTTGGTACATGAAGTACTGTTACCCTGGTCTCACCGATCCAATTCTGGATTCAGTGCCTCCCAGTCGGATCGTAGCAACAGCGTTCGAACTAGCTTTCCTGCCTTAAGTGACCCAACGCATCTACCCAAACGCATTTGATGGCAAATGTCTGTTCCAAGGAAGGGCTGCAACCATACTCTGCTGATCCTAACTTTTCACTTGTTTCCCTTCACCTGCAAAATAAAATCCAAGTTTCTTAACTTTAGTACTCTCAAACTAGGTCATAATTCAAGCAATATATATTGAGTGCCAATTGGATGCCATGCCCTGTGCTAGGCACCGGGGACTTGGCAGCTTAATAGGACACATTCCTTTCCCCTCCTGAACTTTCTATTCTAGGTGCAGGAGGCAGAGGAGCAAACAGTCACACACTACACAGTGTGTGTGGAAGGGGAGAAAGGAGGAACCGCACCTAACCCAGCCTGAGGGGGGACAAGTTGGGAAAGGCAGGCAGGTGGGGTGGAATTGGGGACGCAAGGACAGAGGTCACTCAAAGCCTTCCAAGAGAGAGTCAGCAGGACCTGAAACGTGAGGGGGCAGTCAGACGAGTGTGGGAGGCGGGCGAGTGGGGTGGAGTGGTGTCTCAGAGAGGAGCTGTCACGTGTGCCTTATGGCGGAACTCCTCTTTCATGCACACCAGCCTACACGTCCTCCTTAATACCCTTCCTTATCTCCCTCCTGTTTCAAAGTTTTCAAAGACTGGCTCCATTACCACGTCCTGGAGTTTCCTTTGACAATCCCACTGAATTCAGGTCCTCTCCTTCCTGCGACCTCCGCTCTGGTGCGGAGCTACTTGGGAAATACTCAGGGAATGACATCTCCCATCACCCCCTCATGGGGGCTACAGCACCCTGCAAACTTTCCGGTGCCACAGTGGCAGCTGGCTTTCCTGCCTTGGCCGCTCCTCAGGCAGGCTTTCTCACCATCACCCAGATACACCAGGCTGGCCCCGCTCCAGTTGCCCTCTGCCTACTCAGCCCTGCCCTTCCTTCTCTCCTGAGGCTCACCCTACTCGGCGCTCTCCACTCTTCAGCCTTCTTTGGCCTTTAGGGATCCATGCAAACCTGCCTCCATCTATCTGGACAGTCACTCCTTGAGAACGGTACCATCTTCCACGGAGCCCGCCCTGGCGATGATCTGACAAAGTGGCAAAGAACTACTGATGGGCTTTCACATAGCTCTGTTTAGAGCTTTGAGCGGAGGGAACCTAGTTTCATAAGTCAAGTTGAGAGGTCATTGGGGAGAAAAATAAACTGGTGATCAAAAAGGAGCACCTGAGACACGATGAAAGGGAAATTTACAAAGACGTGGGAGAAAAGCTGCCCAAGGTCTAAGGCAAATCAAGTCAAAACCCGTGACCCTGTTTGCCTTTCACGAGCGGTTTCGCTGGAACACAAAGGAGTCGGGTTTTTTCCTTCCACATACATAACTTGGTCTCTTTGAGTATAATACCTCTGAGTTTCCACTGGAGCACAAAAGGGAAGTAGTCTGCAATAAATTCAATGGAATTATTTCAGATAGTTTATTTCTATGGGGGTTGTACAATCCTTTTTTGTGTGAGATTACAGAAAGAATTGATGATTTGAGACATAATGTTTTGGGTATGTTTGTGCCCCACGTAAAAACTAAAAAATTACCTGTCTTCGGAGTTTGTTTCAAGTTGCAGTAACAGCTCTACTTTGGGGGAAACTTCCCCTTGAATATTTCTTCATAGAAACGGTCTGTGGCAATTGGGAAAAGCAGGGGGAGGTGCTGGGCTATGGCTTTATCTCCGCTCCTGTAATGAGGGACGTTTCCTCATGACGGTCGGTTTATTAACTTCTGGCAGGCCTCCAGCGGCAAGTAAGGGTTGAACATACTTAGGGACTGTGCCAGGACCTTACGCAGGCTCCTTGCCCTTTGTCAAGAGAAAAGGTGCTCAGCCAGACAAGGGACTGCAAAGTCAAGGGCCTCTCGGTACTCCAATAACCACCCCCCGCCCCCAGAGGCCTACACTTGAGACCAAAGTTGGCATATGCTGTTCCCAGATAGCTGTCTTCCAAACAGCCATAGGCTTTAACAAATGAAATTCAGAAGCACATGGGAAGTTTTTTCCATGGTGGGTAACACACTCTACAGGAACAAATGCTTGTTACTGAATTAGACCTTCCCACTAGGTCTTAATTTGCCAAGTCTTCCTACTTAGGTAAGCCTGAGGAAACCTCCACAGGTATTGTTTTGTTTTTTTTTTTGTTAAGGATTTCTACAAGCTACGAGGTGCATTATTTTTAAAAAGTCAGTAAAAAAACAAAAAAAGTCTTCCTCTGCAACCTGAGAAAATAAGTCAGTACCTGCAAAGGAAATCTTAAAGCCCTTGGAGTTACTTCTAACCTTGCCTTGGCACCAGGGTCCTCCTATTTTTCAGCCTCGATCTCCAGTTCCACGTTCCTTTCTGCCCCCTCCACCTCAGCAATGCCCATTCCCCTTCCTCTCCTGTCTCTGTTTTTCACAGAGCAGTTCACAAGCTATACTCCCTCTCAGGTTTCTCTTTTAGCCTAGGTCTTCAGAATCAGGGGCAAGGGAGAGAGAAAGGCCTGGAGTGGCATTTTTTGCTGTTCTAACTAGATTCCTTAAGTCCCAATATGCGTAGATCCTAAGTGGATTACCTCTCTTAACCTTAAAAAAGTCTCCCCTTGATCTGGAAATCCTTCCTCTTCTCTCCTCACACTGGCTCCTGTCAGTGGAATCTTCTTTCTACTAAGCTGTCATCTTCCTTGCTCATGCTGACCTCCTGTGGAGATGTTTTTTGGGGAGAGGCAGGGTGAGGGGGGACAAAGAGCAACCACAGACTAACAGATTTTCCAAGCTGAGCATGCGTCAGGAGTCCAGACTCTCACCTGAATGAGGAGATCGATAGCGAAAGTCCTCTTTGGTCAGCAGCAGGAGAGCTTTGCCATTCATTTCAAACGTGTTGCTGTCAATTGGCCTTAAAGAAAACTCATTTTCAGCCCACTTGAGCCACTGGGCTACGTCATCCCTGCTCCAGTAAATTGGCTGCAAGCCTGTTGGAAAGAGAGCAAGACAGAAAGAAAGAAAGAAAAAAGGTCTTGTCAGTTGGACAGTTGGAATAAAGAGAAAAGAGCTCTGAATAGTTAACGAAATTGAGTTTCCATGTCTCAAGAGCCTTTATTCTCAACTCTAAGCCCCAGGTTAAAACTCCAGCTTTGTAAGTACTCAAGGGTGCTGCCAGATTAATTTTTTATTTAGAGGCAAAATCAGAAAAAGATCCTTTTTAGGATCTTTTTGAAAGGATGATAGGTCTCAGGGCCCTGCCCTTTGTTGCCCAGGCCCAGAAACTGTCTTGGTCCTAGGTTTGCTGTCTGTGGCCCTAGGCACCCGAGGGGGCTCGGGACCAGGACACACTTCGATGTGCTTGGGGCGGGGGGGGGGGTGCTCTCAGAATCAGAGCTGATCTGAGGGCAGCCCAGTGGCCTTGTGAAGTCACAGTGTTCCAGCGTTGGGCCTGACCTTCTGGAGCTGCCAAATAATGAAATGTTCCCTGAAACTTCTTCCAGGAAGAGCAATTCGCTCAGCCTCTGGGAATCAAAGGGCAAGGTAAGGATAAAAGGTCTTTTGCCTTTTTCTTCTACTTGCCCATGTTACAACTTCCTGGTTGGAGTGGGACTTGGAGTCTGAGTTAGACTCAAAGTGGACTGGAGGGAGGCCTGGGGTGAGGCTGAGAGGGTGGTTCAGGTTGCATTTCCGGGAGCCTAATGGTGAGGCTATATTTTTACTTTATTGAGCTACTGTAGGAAATCTTTGATATATCATTCAAGTGGTTAGAATAGTGGTTCTCCAAGTGTAATCTGGAAGCCCCTCAGGCTTGCCAAGACCTTTGCAGGGCATCTATAAAGTAGAAACACTTTTCATAACAATATTAAGAGATTTTTTTTTCCTTTCACACTCTCATTCTTTCATGAGTATACAGTAGAATTTTCTAGAGGCTACATGACATGTGACATAACAGACTGAATGAAGAAACAGATATGCGAATCCAGCCAATGAAACATTAATGAGACTTGCAAAAATACATAACAATGTTACTTTTCTCACTAATTTTTTGTTTTAGAAAGTATGTTTTTGAATACATATTGGCATTACTACATATATGGATTATTATGTTTTAATGAATTTTTTAAAAATTCTCAGCTTTGATTCATAAATGGTAAATATAGGTAGATAGAATTCACATAAACTAAAGCTCTTGGGGGATCTTCGAGGACTTTTAAAAATCAAAAGGGATCCTGAGACCCAAAATGTAAGAACTGCTGCATTAGAAGAAGCTGGATGCTCAACAGAGCATCATTCTCTAAAGTCACATGACATGATGTGGATCAATAGTTCAAACACTACAATGGAATCAGTGTTTGCTAAGGGGAGCTTTAGTCTTCTCTCAATATAAGTTACTTAAACATGCTAAGGAGACTCCATCACCTTTTATTTTTTTCTTTCAAGAGACAGGGTCTTGCTCTGTTGCCCAGGTTAGAATGCCAAAGCATCAGCCTAGCTCACAGCAACCTCAAACTCCTGGGTTCAAGCAATCCTCCTGCCTCTGTTCCCTGAGTAGTTGAGACTCCAGGCATTCACCCTAACACCCAGCTAATTTTTTCTATTTTTAGTAGAGACAGGGTCTTGCTCATACTCAGACTGGTTTCAACCTCCTAAGCTCAATGATCCTCCTGCCTCAGCCTCCCAGAATGCTAGGATTACAGGGGTTGAGGCACAGTCATGAGCTCCATCAGCACTTTATGAAGTCCTGGAGAGAATCACCTTTCATCCTAAATCAGGCATGCAATGATAAAGGACAGTCTGGTCTCTTGGATGGGTTGCTCTTCCTCTTTACTGGAATGGGGAAAAAATGGCTCAGACATCCTGGAGAATGTACATGGCCTCTGGGCATGACTGTCAGCTCTGTCTTCCAAGTGGCTCCTTTGCAAAGTTTTGAAGAGTGGTAGCTCCTTCCTCTACCCTGGTGGAAGTCCCCTCAAAACCAGTCCATCTTGTAGGGCACTACAGACGAACTAGAGGGCACTGGAATAATTAGAGATAGTCATTTAAAGGTTTTCCTTGGTTTTTCAGTTTTATGATAATTTTTTTCACATAGAAAAACAGCAGCGTTACAGAAAAAGAATTTGTAGGATGCTATTACTGCTCTACGATCTGTAGAATGAAATGCGGCCACTAACGGTTTTGTTTTTGACTCTTGACTGGGCCAGATAGCGCTACCTATTTAAAATGGTCCATGGCTGTGGGAGGTGCCCAACCCTTTCCAATGACCTTGAAAATGCACCTCTGGTGTCACACTGAGGTGGCAGTGGCAGCATGGCTGGCTCATCAGAATCTCAATTTTTGAACTGGCAAACCCCTTCAACCTTACTTCTTTCTCCCTGCCGGTGGGTCACCTTTGACCAGAAGCAGCACAGTCACCTCTTTCCTTCACAGGAGAAGAATGAGAACAGTGAACTGTTAGGGGACACCCGTGAGGGTCCAGGCACTGAGGGTGCCTCTGAGGGTGCCCAGAGCACAGAAGAGGTCCAGTGAGAAACAGGAAAAAGTATGGGGTGGCTTATTGGAAATGCGGGTGCCAAGGCAAATACAGAACTGAATCCCGCTTGGGAGGGGAAATGAGAGTAAAATGCTGAAGTTTCTGCAGAGGATACACTGACGCGGAAGGAGGCGGGCGAGAAGGGGGTGGGGGACGCAAGTTGTAATTTGAGGTTCTTTCTATTCTATGGAAGAAAATACTCATGAGTAATCTTTTCCCTAAATACAAGAAGAGTCACACACTCCTAACAGCTCTGCCGGTTCAGAACGACAGTTTCTCTTTTCACTTCCCATTAATCTCTCCCACAGCCCACAGCCCAGCCCCTGAAGCAGCCAGGGCCACCCATGGAAACCCCCTCACGAGGAACCGGTGAACGCTCTGGGCTTGTGTACAAAAGGGACCCAGTGAGTTACCGGGAAGGCTGCAGCAATCCTAGCAGTTATACAAAAGCGACCCTGACCGAGCAAGCTTCCTCTGCAGGCCACTCAACAAATTCATCAGAATCACTGCTCTCCTGTTAGCATAAAGAGAGAGGTGGACGGAGCTGGGAAGAGGCTTGCTCAACTTCCCTGTTCAAAGTCAAGTCCCGCTGCTATTTCCTTTTTAATTCAATAGAATAAAAAGGTTGTGGTGGAGGATGTGCTTTGCAATTCTAATTGAGGAGGAAAAAAAAAAAAACTCCTTTCCCTCAAACCTCAGGGCTCTCAGACCTACTGTGATACTGCAACTGAGTGGAATACAGCCTCGTACCTAGAGGCAACTCAGTTCTAATCAGGACAATTTTGATTCACTTGATAGCCATTCATTAAGCACTTCTATGCACCTACACTGTTTTAAGCACTTGATAAATATTAGTTCATTTAACTGCATGCTCACACAACTTTATGAGATAGGAGTTCACAGGAGGAGACTGAGGCCCAGTGCTTGTACAGGACTTGCCCGAGATGGCATGGCTCTAGTGACAAGAAGAGGTGAGCCTGGAGCACGGGCGGTGTGGTTCGCGAGTCCGTGCTCTTGTCTAGCGCACTGTGCTCACCCATGCATTTCCCATCCACATCCACATTTGAGATTGGCTTTCACCATCTAGCAGGGGTTCAAAAAAGACTGAGTAGATTGACTCCTACCCATCTAAGACTTAGATCTGGGAGGATTTCTAAAGTTACCAACATACTAAAAATATGCAAAAGAAAAAAAAAATCTGTAGATTCCCAGAGAAATAGATTTATAAATGGGAGGAGGAAGGTGTGGGTGGGACGCTGCTTTTAATGCATTCAGGAATAAAGCGCTCTCTTCACTGATGTTTGGTCTTCGGAGTCCTTATCCGGCTCACAGCTATGAATGGGACAGAGATACACGGGCAGGATGAGGGAGGATAGCATATAACTGTTTTATACTGTCTCTTTCAACTTTAACTCAAAGTCAAAGAATATAGATGTTAATGACTACTAGGAAAAAAAAAAAAGGAGAGACCATTAGTCTATACGTATATTATACTGCTCCCTGTGCATTTAACAAGCCCGTTGAGAGCCTTTTACTAAGATGGGCATTTTAAATGCCAATTAATTTCAGAGAATATTTGAGAAGAATTTTGTACAGAGGAAATGAACTATTATAATTAAGAAAATTACTAAGAATTCCACTGCAGTTTTTTCCCCCAAGTGGGTCAAGTTTGTGGTGTCGTACCCCTCAATGACACACCGAGAGCCTTAAACTTTCTGCTGTTAATAATATTTCTTCAATTCCATGTTCAAGGGGGCAGCCGCATTTATCAGTACTTTCATACCTTCATTTCAGACGTTTGGAGTTATGTTTAAACTAATGATGAAAAACATGTTGGGAGTCAGGAGCCTGGATTTTATTCCCAGATCTGCCATAAATTAACATTCGAATCTGGGCAGGCTGGTCAGTTTCTCTTTGCCTCAGTAACTTCATCTGCAAAATGAGGGCGTTAGAGTATGTGATCTCTATTCCCTGCAGGATTTGACACAGTCCATATAATCCTATTTAATTTGAATTTTAAAAACCAAAGAATAGAAACAGCTGGGACCTTTTTTGACAGAGTGACTCCATGCTCATGACCATGGCCCTGTGATTTTGTTACTTCCTGAAGGATTTTCAGCATCATAGAAGATGAGTGAGTACTTATGAGTGTATTATTTGAATTCTCAGGAAAGCTGTAACCCAGCCATGGCAATAATAAACATATCCTCTTGCAGCTGTATGGTGCTTTGGAGTGGGTTAGATGTTTTCACGTGTTTTCATTTAATTCTCATAAAAGCCCCACGATGTCCGTGGTATTTTCATTTCAGTTTAATAGGTGGTTGTGCTCTCATTTCAGTTTAATAGATGTCATGACGATGACACATAGCTCCGAGCCATCAGGTGACTTTTCTGGTCTGAGCAATGCTCTGTTCAAGCTCTTCCCCTGCGGCAGTCATTCACCAGAAACCCCTGTTA